GAGTTAGGGTCAGGGTAGCAGTATTCCTTGAGAACATACGCCATATTATCCTGAATGCATTTCCTTTTTAATTTTTTCTATCTGTGTTGTTGTTTGCTTAGTTTATCTTGTTTTTGAAAAAAAATATTGCAAGGTGGAAAACATTACAGAGAAGAAATACTGAGTTTTATAATTGGGAAATATAGGCAGAAGTATGTGTGACTATTTCTGAGTTATTGAAGATAACTTTTCTCTCATATGTAACATCTTTAAGTTATATGGCATATTCTCTTATTTAAAGTATCCATGGTAAGAGTGGATGGAAGAGGGGTGGAGAGAGTCATCAATCGTACTTTAAAGACTGGACTGCTTTACTCTCTATTTTACACTTTCAGAGTGGAAGGAAGAGTTTGTTATATAGCCAAGTGGGACAGCCTCAATAGTAATATATATATATAGATAGATAGATAGATATGAGATAAGTATATATATGGTATGTGTAAAAGTTAAATGTTTCCCATACATTTGAGTGTCAATGCATTCTACATGAAAATACTTTCAGAAGTCCTCATGGACAGGTTAACTGCAGTCAAAGACATTAGATGCTCTGTGTAAGGCAGTGAGATAGAGTCCTCCTGTGAATATTTGATAACAGTATTACATTACAATGCTTGGGCAAGTGCCAACTGAGTGTTAGGAAAATGAACTAAGTGGGAAGAATAACACGACTGTCTTGCATGTTGATTGACTGATTGGCTGAGTTCTGTACCTAGATAGCTCATATAACCTTGACTTCTCCATCCATAAACTGAAACAAATTATGCCTGTCTAGCAAAAGCAACTATCCCAAAGATCAAGTTTGTTTTTACTAATGTAGAATATTTGGAGATCTTTACATTAATTTATTTAAATTTATCTTCTCTTATTAATAATAAATCATAATCTTCTAGCAGAAAAAGTTCCATTTGCATCCTAAAGTGTAATAGTGAATGAATGACATTTGGATGAAATTTGCTTCCTCGGGTGCAAAGTATATTTTTAACAGACTACTGCTAAAAGTTCAGGAACATGGCAAGCACTAACTAATACACATGACATAACAGAATACTAACTGGCACAACAATGTGTGCAATAAATATGCATTAAAAATAAACCAAAGCAAAGCTTTATCTTTAAAATCATGATTCCTCAGGGCAAGGAAATTGAAAACTTGAAAGAAAATAGAAAGAGAGAAGGATGAAAGCAAACTGTAATTACTTGCCAGTTCATTTCCAGGGAATATGCTGGGCATTCTACATTTTAAAAAAAATCTAATTTAGCTTTTTAACTATTTCACTTATTTTATCTCACTTAACCATTTTACTCTTTGAAGAAACTAAAGTTTATTTCATTTTATTAGTTCAAAGATTCACAAATAACAAAGTAGAGTGTAACCATACCACTCTTGGGGGGAACACTGATAGTAGGGGAGTCTGCTTGTGCAGGGGTAGAAGGGTGTGGGTACTCTTTGTCTCTTTTGATCAATTTTTTTTTTCTGTCAACTTACAACTGTTCTGAAAAATAAAGTCTATTTTAAGTGGGGGAAAAAAATAGAGTAAGATGGTTCTGTAAATTCTATGTAGGGTTCTTTGTTCCACTTTGTGTTATATAAAGCCCTCTTCTAGAAGGATCAGTGATAACCAGGGAAGGATTTGCTTTGTGTTTCTCCTGATAATATTGCTGAGTTAATTCAGTATGACAAATCTTTAGTTAAGAGACTAGTTTGTACTTGTGGGGGCTGAGTGATATCAGTGAACAAGGCACATGGAGAGAGAGAAAAAATCAACAGTAAACATAATAAATGTGTGTAATATAATATAGAAGAAGGTAATGATTGGTGTAACATATATATAAAATAGAGTAGGGTAGAAAAAATCACGTACCTTGGAGTGAACTGCAATTTAAAGTTATGTGTGCAGAGTAGATAGGTCTCATCACTAGCATAATTTTCAAACACAGACTTGAAGATAACCACATAGACAGCTTAGATAGACAAGAAAAAAAAAAATTTTCGGTCAAGGGCACCAGAAAATGCAGAAACACATATTGGTAGGACACTTTCTGGTCTGTTCCCCAAACAGAAGGATGTGGCCAGTGAGATGGAGTGAGTTAGGGAGATAAATGTAGAGGATAAATCCAGAAGTTATGGCAGAAGGTGGGATATATATCATGTAGGGTCATGTAAGCACTTCAGCTTTTCCTTTGAGTTCATCCAGAATTCACTGCAGAGTTTAAGGGTAGGAGTGACATAATCCGTCTTTTGTTTTAAGAGGATTACTTGACTTTGTCAAGACTGGCCTGTAGGGAGGAAAGCATACAACCTGGGACATTAATGACATAAATCTAGGTTAGAAGTAAGGATAGTTCAGACCAGGGTGGCACCAGCGGTATCAGTAAAAGTGGTCATGTCATAAATGTATTTTGGAATTTAAGACAACAGGAGTTTTTGTGAGCTGGGCATAGTGTGAGAATCAAAGAAGAAACAAAAATGAATCAAAAATATTTTGATCTAAACTACTGGATTATTCAAGTTGCCATCAACCAAGATGAGTAATATTGCAGCTGGAGGATGTTTCTAGGGATTCGGAATTCTGTTTTAAAATGTTAAATCTCCACGTGTATGTTAGATATATACTAACTGCTGGATGTATACTAAACATTCGAGAGGAGAAATCTAATAGGTGGCTGAATACACACACATGAGTCTGGGTTAGAGATAGAGCTTCAGTGGTGTCGGGATTTGGGTGGTGTATAAAGTCATGACCCCGAAACCGAGGAGCACAAGCAACCACAAAGGCAGATTCTGGGCAGTCACACTGAGCAGTCTGGAGAAGATGAGGAACCAATACCTGAGAAGGGCAAGGTGTGAGTAGGAAAGCAGGTGAAAAGAAAAGAGGGAGTGTTGTCTTGCAAAGCTAGAGAGGAAGTCTATCAAACAGCTGGGAGTGACCGATTCTAATGCTGTTGCTAGGTTACGTAAGCTAAAAGGTAAGAATGGACCATTGAATTTAGAAACATGTAGGACAGCAAGAGATAGAAGGCAGGAGGCGACGGGGATGACAGAGGATGAGATGGTTGGATGGCATCCCCGACTCAATGCACATGAGTTTGGGCAAACTCTGAAGGACAGGGAAGCCTGGTGTGCTGCAGTCCATGCGGTTGCAAAGAGTTGGAGCAAGGACTGAGCAACTGACAGCACTTGTGCCTTGTTAAGAGCAGTTTAGTGGACTTGGGAGTGGGGAAGGTAACAACATAATTGGAATATGTTGGTAGAGAATAGAAAGAGGGAAACTCAAGAAATTTTAAAGAATCTTAGTGCAAATCAGAGTTAACAGAAATTATAAGTGAAAGATGAGTTCAATTCTAGAATGCAGATAACCTCAATGAAAGCTTAAAGCTAATAGTTTGACTGCATTTTCTTGGTTTTGTACAATTTCATGGACACACATCTATATGACTAGAAATCTTACATACACATGGAAATTTATTTTAGTTATGTAAAAAATTATATAGTAACAGACTCATTCACTTAAATATAAACTTTTTTGATTTCAGTCATAAGTCAAGTATATCACACCACTGGCACAATTAATATACTATAGGAAATAGTTATACAGAAATATATACATTGTAAATGCTGTTTGGAAAACTACATAGTGCAATACATATGGTCTTATTACATCAGTGAGCATACTCTCTGCTTCTCTTCTGCTTTAAATTTATATTCCTTTAATATAATTAAAGGAATTATATAATTATTATATTTTAATATAATTAAATGTAATGTTTGAATCAAATGCTAAAATATTCATACAGGCATACTAGAGAAAAGTATATTAACTTCTATTAGAAAAAAATATAGGATAGGGTAGAGGGCCAACACCTCTACTGTTCTTAAACACTTCAACCTTGGATGAAGAAAAAGAAGACATTTTTATGTAATGTAACTCATTAGCACTTCTAACTTTTTATATGATCAACACCAAGAAATGACCAACTGGAACAGAGTGTTCAGCTCTTAAAGATGAATTTGTGTCTACAGCATATGGTACTCCTGTAGATAGAACACACTACAAGTTTACAGACCGTGTTACCTTTCTAAAAAATTCCCAGACTGATCCTTAGGAACTAAAAAGCAAGACCTGCTATATTTAACAATGTTTATGAAACTATTTTTATTTTACTAATTATGTTTCCTTATTTCCACTGGCAAGTGATTTTAAGGCCTTTGCTGAGAAGCATGTCTAGAGGAAACTGACTCTAAACTAGGCTGTTTTCTATTATACAAGTGGGTTCTCTGCGATTCTCAAGTGAGATCGAATAAATAGCACAATTCAGGATACCCAGTGATGATAGTGGTCAGCTGCTTAGAGAAGGAGCATCTTGCCCTCATGGATGAATGTGAGCTGAGTATACCAGCTAAACAACTAAGGCTGCCAGAGGTTCCCAAACCCATGCAGGACCATGAGTCACAATTATTTAGCGGAGCCTTTGTGGATATCCCAGAGCATGCCCATGAATACCACATACTCAACTTGGCAATGACCAATTTAAGGTGTTCGTTTTAATTTTTCTTCTGGCCAGAGGACAACTGGCGGAGTTGGTGTCTATTGGAAGACCTTGATGTCACCGGGATAACATAACAGAAAAATTCAGACTACAAAAGATCAGATATAGATATTTTACACACGGTAAGAGGCCATTGTGCCTGCGTTTTCTTAAAGAAAAATGAATCAATCCTACTGCCCAATGCATAGGTTTTGCTTTCACTTTTATAGTGTTTAGAGAGTGAAATAGAAAAGAAAATAGTGCCAAACATTATTAGGTGTTAAAAAAAAAGTTTCAAGTCATCACTTGTTAAAATACTTTGGTTCTGTCGTTTCCCTGCCCAATATTAACAATTTTAAAATATTTTTTTTCTCCACATGAATTCAGAAAAAAGAGGATAACAGAATATTTGCAGTGTACCGAAATCCAGGGCGATGTGTGAGTTAAAGAAGTTCCGCGTTACTCCACAGCCACTGGACGGACAGGGTGTGAGCTGTGCTAGGAGAATCGGCCCCTCTGAAGGCACATTTTAAATGACACATGCACAGCTGCTGCATGCAGAACTGTGAGGCTTCCTGTATCTATCAGGGCCACATCATTAGCTGGGCTCCCTGTAGTTCTTCCACGATAGATATAACAGGCATTTCCATCTCAATATTCTGCCTTTGTAGTTTTCCTTTGTAAAAGGAAAGCTGATGCTTAGTATTCTTTTTCTTATGCTTGAGTTGTGTACCAGATAAATCTAGAAGACTGCCAGTGGTTGTCTTTGTTTTGACCCTCATCAAGTCAGAGCACTTCTATGAGTACAGCCCTTTCTGCCATTGGGAAAGCAGAAGTGGCTATGTTCCCTTTCCCTAATTTCCCCCAACAGGGTTGTCATATAAACTTCTGTCAAATGGAAATTAGGTTATTTTCCTAACTGTTTAGTGTAACTCAGGACAGCATTTATGGAACAACATAACTTCATATTTCATTTTTGCTTTTAATTATTCATAGTCATTTTAATATATTTGGACAGGAAAAGGGTAAGTGAAAAATACAGGCAGAAATAGAGAGAAAAAAAAAAAGATGAACTAAGAAGACTCTATCAATATATTGATTGTCCAGAAAATTATTTTACTTATTTATATTTTTTATTTTGGTTTTATTTTTCCCATTTTTAATCCCCCCCAAACTATAATATGAAGTGAAAGTGAAATCAAAGTAAAAGTTGATCAGTCGTGTCTGACTCTTTGTGATCTCCTTGACTATACAGTCCATGGAATTCTCCAGGCCAGAATGCTGGAGTGGGTAGCCATTCCCTTTTCCAGGGATCTTCCCAACCCAGGGATTGAACCCAGGTCTCCCACACTGCAGGTGGATTATTTACCGGCTGGGCCACCAGGGAAGTCCAAGAATACTGGAGAGGGTAGACTGTCCCTTCTCCAGCGGATCTTCCCAACCCAGGAATTGAACCAGGGTCTCCTGCATTGCAGGTGGATTCTTTATTAGCTGAGCTACCAGGGGGAAGCTGGAAACTATAATATAGTAGACTAGTTATAATTACAGTAAAGTAATTTTTTAGAAAGATATAAACCAATTCGTTACAAGTACACTCTGATTTTACAATGAAATTTATCTCAATTGAAACTTTCATAGAATAGTGGAGGTGCAACTGACATGCAATAAACTGTGCAAATTTAAAGTATGTGATTTGACAAGTTTTGAACATGTATATACCCATGAATCCATCAACATAATTATGGTAATGAACATACTCATTACTTCCTAGAGTTCCTCATCTCTCTTTTGGGCCTCTCCTTCCCATTCTCCCTCACATTCCCACTTCATGCCAACCGACTGCTGTTCGACTTTCTATAACTATAAATTAGTTTGCATTTTCTAGAATTTAAGATGTCTTTTTTCTAATGGAACCATACTATACTCTTTTCTGCTTTTATTTTCATTCAGGATAATTGCTTTGAGATCATCCATGCTGCTGCATGAATTGATAGTTTATCCCTTTTTGTTACTGAGTGGAATTCCATTGGAGGGATACAGCACAGTTTCCTGATGCATTCATGTGTTTATGGCCATTGGAATTGTTACCAGTTTTTTATTATTACAAATAAAGTTGCTATGAATATTTATGTACAAGTCTTTGTATGGACATATGCTTTCATTCCTCTTGGGTAAAATCTCCAACTATAATGACAAGTTTTTCAATTTCTCCTTGCAGTTATATCAGTTTTTGCCTAATGAATGTTGAAGTTCTGCTATTAAGATGTTAAATGGCTAGGACATTTTAGTGTACTTGCTGAATTGGCTCCTTAATTATTATGAAATAAAGATCTCTGATCTTTGCTCTGAAATTTACTTTGTCTGATATTGTATTAGTTTTCTAACCATGCATAACAAGTGACCACAATTTTAGAGACTTAATACAACATTCATGGAATTCTCCCTGGTGGCTCAGATGGTAAAGTATCTGCAGGCAATGCATAAGACCTGGATTCTATCCCTGGGTTGGGAAGCTCCCCTGCAGAAGGGAATGGCTACCCACCCCAGGATTCTTTCCTGGAGAATTCCATGGACAGAGGAGAATGGTGGGCTTGCAAAGAGTTGGACATGACTGAGCAACTAACATTTTCACTTTCAATACAGCATCCACTTATCATTTAACAGTTTCCTTGTGTTGGCAGTCCAAGCATAGCTTGTCTGGATGCTTTGTTCAGAGTCCAAGGTGTTGGCCAGAATGGGTTCCATCTGGAGGCTTAACTAGGGCAGAATCTCCTCCCAAGGCCATTCAGGTTGTTGGCAGAATTTATTTCTCTGCAGCAGTATGACTGTAGTTTCTGGCATTTTGCTTAGTGCAAGCTGGAGGCTATCACTACGTCCTAGAGACTGCTGACAGTTTCTTGTTAAGCAAGCTCTCCAACCTGGCCACTCATTTCATCAAGCTTTCAAGGGGAGTATCTCTCTGCAGGTAGGGCTTGGTACTTCCACTGATAAGTCAAGACCTACCCAGGAAGTTCATTCTTTTGGTTACCTCAAAAATCATAATGATTAATTACATTTGCAAAATTCCTTCATGCCTGACGTAATCTGTTTGCCGAAGCAATTCCAGGTCTTGCCTACATTCAAGGGGAAGAAATTATATAGGATGGAATAGGGGATGGGGATCAGAGGGCAACTCAAAGGTTACTCAATCACAGATAATAATGAAGTCAATCCAATTTAATTCGATGTGACTTAACATACTGGGTTTCAGTATTTTCTGTTTAACCTACATATATCCTTATACTTAAAGTATTTTGAGATTTTTGGTTCGTTTTTGCTGCTGTTATTGAAGGCAGCATATAGTTGGATCTTAGTTTTTCGTGTGATCTTATTAACCTTTTATTTTTTTGGTGGGTTCTAGTGTGTTCATGTCAGTGGTTGTTCAACAGCTGGTTGAGATTTCAGTGTTCTGGCAGGAGAAGATAACCGCACATTCTTCTACTCTGCCATTGTGAACCAACCTCTTTCTCTCACTTTTAATTAATATATTTTGACCATTTACATTTAATATGACTATTGACAAGGATGGGTTTAAATTCACCATCTTGCTATTTCCATTTATTTGCCCATTCTTAGTTCCCTTTTATTCCTTCTTTTTTATTGAATAATTTGTGATTTTATTTTATCCTCTATAGGCTAATATTACTGCACACTTTTCTGTGCAATTGCTTTGGGATTTATAGTATATATTTATAATTTATCATTGTCTACCTTCAAGTGATATTATAGAAAGTGAAAGTGTTAGTGCTAAGTCATGTCCGACTCTTTGTGACCCCATGGACTATAGCCCGCCAGGTTTCTCTGTCCGTAGAATTCTCCAGGCAGGAATACTGGAGTGGGTAGCCGCCATTCCTTCTCCAGGGGATGTTCCCGACCCAGGGACTGAACCGAGGTCTCCTGTATTGCAAGCAGATTCTTTACAGTTTGAGCCAGCAGGGAAGCCCAGATAACATTATGCCACTTCACATATAGTATCAAAACCTCCCAACAGTATACATCCATTTCCCCTCTCCCAGTCTTTTGTACTCTGATGCATATTTTACTTCTACATATTAATATTTTATAAACTGCATATTACCTCCAGTAACGTTTCCTTTTACCTTGTAGAGCATGCCAGCAATTGTGACTTTTCAGTTTTTCATATATGATAAAGTCTTTATTTCACCTTTTTTTAAAAGTTTGCTTGATACATACTTTGTGTTGAAAGATGTGGTCTTTCCATGCATTAATGTTGCTCCTGTGTTCTTGCTTATATTGTGTCCATCAAGAAGTCTGCTGTCCTTTTATTTTTATTCTCCTGTACATGCCATCCACTCCACTGCTTCTCTATCCAGTTACTTTAGAGATACTCCCTTTATCACTGATTTTAAGCAAGTTGATTATGTAATTTGCTTTCTTTTTTTTCTTTTTATCTATTTTCCTTTCTTTTCCTTCCTTCCTTCCCTCCTGTGGCTTACTGAGCATCTTAGATCTGTGGGGTTGTGGCAAGCAAGTGACTGTTGCTGTCCGTGCCAAGAGCAGGAGTCCCAGGATATTCACCCACTGCATGGCTTGTGGGTAGTAGACTCGTCATGAAAGACACAAGTCATGCAGGCACTGGATGGAACAACACCTGCCTCACGCGGAGAAGGGGCAGAACAAGATCAGCTTCGTTAGTGAGTGTGTAGTACCCCATGCCCAACAGGAGTTAACCCATAGCCAAGGCAAGGAAGCAGTTTGCAAAGGATGCCATTTCTTCCCCACCAGGAGCAGACAAAGAAGTGGGGTTGGCCAGGTGCCATAGGACACACTATTTAAGCAAAACAGAGATGCGTACATGAAGCCCAGGAAAGGGAAACATACTCCCAAATAAGACAAGAAGCCTAGCACAGGCCGTGAGGGCTCCTAACCTCCATATAAGCAAATATTGCAGGGCCACGGCGCACGCTTATGCAGCCAAACAAGGACTGAGTAAGTTGCAGGCGCTGCCTTTCCCAACACTTTGTAGTTCTCAACTGACTCAGAAAATTTCATCCATTATTTCTTTAAAGATTTTTGCACTGCCTTTTTCAGAGGCTCCAGGTACATATAAGTCGGCCTCCTGAAACTTGCTTACAGCTTCCTGATGTCTTGTGTCTTGATCTCTCTGTGTTTATTCTGTGTTTTAATTTAGATGGGGTCTTTACAAGTTCAATCATCATTTTTCACCTTTTGGCAGTATCTACTCTTAATCTTATTTAGTGTGTTTTTTAATCTTAGACTTTGTTTTTTCGCCTCTAGAAGTTTAACTTTTTTTCTTTTAAAATAGATTTCATACCTCTACTTAACATGCTCTACCTTTTTTCTACCTCCTTAAACATATATGATAGTTATAATAAATGTTTTTAAAATTTTGTTTACTCTATCATTTGTGTAATTTCGTATGGATTTCTAACTCATTGATCTTTCTGCTTATATGTGTCATACTTCT